CCAGATTTCTACAAAGATGTGGCTGTGACAGTCAGTAACAAATGTTAATAATTCAATTCTACTTGGAGATAGTTCCTATTTGCCATTCTGCTGTGTTTTAGTACAAGATGAATAATAAATGAGGACAGTACTGTCCAGTTATTGCAGGATATTTTTACCCATTGCACTCTAGGAAACTTCCACAGAATTACGTAAACAGATATTCCTGATTTAAGTGTCATCATGAAGGATATATTTTTACTGGTGTACCTATCTATTTTCTTCATAGAAATTTTCAATGTGAAGAGATAATATTAGTTCACTCAATAGTCCATCCATAATTGTATGACTTTGACAGCCATATTTATAACTGTGAAATGATGTTTTCCTAATCGCAAAAAGGACTAAAATTATTAAGTATGTCTAACCTGTGCAAGTAAAACATCTCAAAAAATGTAAAAGATATTACTTTCCGGGCATATTTATATAGGAGAGGCTGACAGATGCAAACCGTGAGGCTGTGTGGACCGTAGAGACAGTAGTGTGAGGGTGGCTAGTACAAAACTCCCCAAATCAGTTGGCTCAGCACAGCTCCCAGTCGGGATGTCATACTGCCAGATCACTTCTGTGTTGCATTTAAGCTGCTAGATGAAGCCAGCCTGGCCAACAGCACTGCAGCAGCAGTTTCACAAGGAGATCAGCTGTTACATTCTCATCTCAGCATCTCAGGAATAGCAACAGTCATTATGGCATATTACAGAGGCTGCGTTCAGGAGTTCCTGACACCTTATTTGTGTAAACTTAATTCTCCTCCTCTCCCCACACTGAAAGATTGCAAAGTTACCTCTGAAATATTTGATATGTCTATTTTATAAAATGTGTGATTGCATTTGCAGAGATTACTCCAGAAATTTGACAGCACCCATTATTATTTTCCTATTATGTATTCAAGCATGAGATGCTTTGTGATGTTTGCTTGAAAATCAGAACGAACAATAGCATAAGCAAATGCTTTCTGGGAGATAAAGCAACTCCTGCATTTGGATAAAAGGATAAGGACACCAGATTCTGACTTAAATGGGCTCTGAGGACACCTGGGGCCAAATCCATGGTACCTGATAGTCCTACAAAACCTATCTACATGTTGATCTCCTCAGCTTTTTGCTGCAAATGGTAGGCAATTTGTACAGAGCATTAGACTCCAAGGATAAGCAGCACATGCTCTTAGATTTGTCCTTACTTGATCTAGGCTGTGATGTCCTGTTTAATATCAGAGCTACATGGGCTTAAACATGCAGGTACAGGGAATGCTACAGTGTAGAGAGAGGACATTTGCAGAGAATCAAACAGTTCTTCCTGAAACAAACTGGGAATTTACAATATTTGTTTAAAATAATTTGTTGTGGTTTTGATATACACATAATTCCTCCTGAGAGCTCTAACACTGCAGCATTGCTGTGGTGATGCTGGGTTCATGACCAGGGCTCGTGGGCCCAGAGGGAGTGGGGTTGTCAACATGTGGAGCAGTGGCTGGGATTCCCACTTGGCGAAGGAGAGCATTGGAGTTCCCAGCAACTGTGGGTGTAAACAACAAAACCTGCGTCCTGCTGCTCAGGTGAGGATTCAGCTCTACTCAGCAGAAAACAAAATAAGAAAATGAACTAACTGATGGAAGTCAGTCCACTCTGCTGGGAGGTAGGAGATGATGGTGGGAACACAGTTCCACCAAGAAAGGAACAGCAACTAAAACTCCACCCTTTACTCCACTATGTAAAAGTAGGACATCCCATTTCTCAGCAGACCTCTTAAAGAGATGATCCCTACTCAACCCTCTCCTACCATTGGGGAAGTTTCTGGGCTGGTGAGTACTTGGCAAGAGGAGCTGCTTTCTCCAGGCCTGAAGAAGCCTTTCAACCTTGTGGACAACTGCGGCAAACCTATTCTGAGATTTCAGCTTCTCTCCAGGCAGGTTTCTGGTTTGTATCTTGTCAGGCTTGTAGAGTTAGGAAAGTCCTAAAGTGGAGGAAGGCCACAGATGTTCAGATGACCTCTGTTCCTTCTAGACTACTGCATTTGGCAGGGGGCAGTTGACACTCACTTAGAGCCCTTTTACACCATAGATTAAACACATATGGAAGAGATTGTAAAGGGGTGTAATGAACAGTCTTTTGGCCTGGAAGGTTGAAGCTGTAATTAATACCAATTTGCACATCTGTTCTGAATTAGGTGCTGAAACAGCCAGCAGAACTCCTTGTGGTTTAAGACAGGAACCTACCTGGGTGCTTCATGGAAAGGCACCTGGGAAGAAAGATGGTCTGGGTCTTCAGGGACCATTTGTCATAACACAGCAGCAAGACCTGAATGTCAGTGGGGATGAGGCAGTGCCTTTGCCATGGGAAGCACCAGCTCATCTTGCATGGTGAGTGGTGCAGGGCTGCACACAGTCCTGCCCCAAAAGCTGCAACTCTGCATGATGAGAGCCATCCTAGGGAGCCCACATGGCCCTGCAGCAGACTTCATTAGCAGAGCCTTGGTGAGCAGCTGGCCCTTCCACAATAATGACCACCAGAAGAAAACTGTGCATTTCTCCAAGTGAAGGAAATACTCCGTGCATAAATCCTGCTCAGTGCAGGATTTAGTTGTTAAGCAGAGGAAGAGACAGAAACTCCAATGCTTCTGAAAGGGAAGCACTCACAGGTCAGCCTGTAACAAGACTTTCTGGCATTGAAATGCTCCAAGGCACGTTATTTTACTTTTGTCACGTTGCCACCACAGTATAATAGAGACAATACCTTAGGTGGATACAACTTGTCCTTTTGAAGCATGGGAGGTATCCTCCCTTAGTTTGAGCAGCATGTGAGGTATCCTACAAAACTGTCATTGGATAAAACTCTTAAAAAGTCATTACCACAGGTACTGAGTGAGTGTCACTCCCCGGTCTCCATATATTAGCTTAGATCATATTTCCCTCTGACTGCTTTGATAAGATACATTACAGCTGCATTTTGCAAGAAGAAATAGCTTGTGTGCCCTGTCTGCACCCTGGCACAGAAGCTCTGAGATCAACCTGTGTAGTGGTCGCTCATCCAGCCTGCCTTTAGAATCAGCTAAACGCTACAGTGTGTTTGAAAATCCCAATAAAAGGGCAAAACCCTATTTGTAGCTGCATTTTGAACACAGAACTCTGTTTTTCAAATTCATGCAGCCTATTCCAAACTGAAGCTTATGTTGCTTTAGCTGCTTAACCAGATCCTTGTGAAGAGGAAGGAGATGCTGTTTGGCTTGCTGGAGTCAACAGGTACCACCAATACCTTCCACACGAGATTTTTCAGAGCGTTGAAACTGCTGGCAGGGAGCCCAGTGTCTTCCCTGCACTCTAGTCGTCAGAGCGGGTGCTTTCTCCTTCCTTTCCTACAGCTGTACCAGCTGTCACTTGTCTCCAGAGTCAAAATATTTCCATGCCTATCAACAGCTCGTAATTGATGTGAAATCAGTGAATCTCCTTGCACAGTTCATGCTATATATGCAAGAGCCGGGCATCCAGCAGAGGAGTGCAAAATCTAATGAGAAGCTCTCGGCTAACAGAATCAAGTTTCCTTTAGCAATGGTTGAGCATGCATGACTATCCATGGTTTCCTAATTATTGTAATTTACTAAATCTTCCCTATTAACAAGCATTTTTCTGCCTGGGGACTTTCTAATCATGGAATTAATTGTCACTTTTACCATTATAAAATACTGCTCCCATGACATTGCTCAGATTTACAGCCCTAACTGTGAAAAGAAGAAAGGAGATAAAGAGAAAGTTGTTAAAAGTATTTTGCTTATCACTTCTGATTTTTTTTTTTCAAAAACATTTTAGGAGTCTGACATGGAGAAGGCAAAAAAAAAAAGGAAAAAACAGAATTTTCGTCCCTGAAATCCTAAATAGGAAAGTACTATCTTAGCAATAAAACATAGCAGCAACATGTTAAAAGATGCCCTCATTAATTAATAATAGAAGCAGAGACCATCTCTTTCTGTATGAGGAGTAGAAACCTATAGTAATTCCACTGATTCCACCAGCATTGTGTCAGAATTCTACCAATCTCATAGCTATAAAAATTGTTTCTGAATATATCCCCTTTCACCTCACATGTTGTCAAATGATATAAGTGCCTGTATCTTTCCAGTTGAAATTGATCCCTTTGGTCCTGAGCTCCAGAAGGAGCAACAGGTTACTCCTTGTCAGACTTTTTAATAACTTGAACTTAACTTGTACAGCATGCCATAACAATAAAGGGAGACATGGCATGCAGCATGAAATTAAGCAACAGCAATGGGCATAGAAATCTTAAGGAAAGACAAATTTCAGTACCTCTTTAATCTTTTTCCTACATTCACATACTACAAGGGTGATGATTGTTTTTGAAGATGAATGAACACACTTCCCGTACCGTTCAGCTGCATTCACTACTGAATGACTCATCTGGTGCATTCTTAACAACAGCTTTTAAGAGACTGCATCCCGTGCTCAAGTTAAAAACAAACAAACCAACTAATTAGAATCTGTCCCTCATGATAAAAAACCAAAACAAAAACCAAACAAAACCCCAAACACAAACAAACAAGACAAACAAAAACCCCTCTCACTTGTGTGCAATGTTTGTTACAGCTGGAAAACTAAAAAGAAGTCCCTTATGTCAAGATGATACCTATAAGAAGTTATGTAAAAATGTGTCAAAATCATTCAAGCCTTTGATTAAAGGTGCATGTATAATTACAATACTTCTACAGAAAACCAGTACTATCCTCTCTTGGGAGGGGATACAGTTGGCTAAGACATGTTCTCCAGTTCCGACAAGTACTTTGCTTTTCAGTAAATGCCTCACACATCTTGTCGGCTGTCTTTGCAGGGGAAGAAAGCACTGATATCTAGGCAAAAAAAGTTCAGTAATCCTAGATGCCTCCCCACACAAGTGCTAAAAATGCACCAAAGCTGCAAGCATGTGAGAAAAGTAATGCACGCCTTAAAAGAATACCTTAAAGGAATAGTAAAAGGATCCCCACTCCTCTTCTGCCACCACTTCAGTGAAAGTCACCGTTTCAGTACAGGTGACAAGGGTAAGATCCAGCCAGCTGGTGCCTGCCTGGGAGCTGCTGCTGGCTTCTGTGGAGCTGACCTCCATCACTGGATTTTGTTCGAGTTGCCTAGGTGCTTGTTTTAGTAAGAGTTAATGCAGCCAGGCTTCTCCCGTAAAAGCGCAGCACAAAACCAGCTTCTCACTGCTCCACTACTGGCTACCAGAGGCGTCAGGCTTCAGTGCAGCTGAGTGACAGAAAAAAAAAAAAAAAACAAAGCCAAGCTGGCGTCGTCCCTTTGAGCTTTCCCTTGGTACAACTCTGACGACAGCTATCCACATGCTCTTTCCAGCAGCAGCAGCCAGTACAAAAGCCAGCATGCACGGTCCCAGCCATGTGCTTTGTTGACTCTGGATTGCCTTGCACACCAAGTTGTTAGCCCTGGAGTCAGGCACACCTGTAAAAGCATGGACCTTCTCCTGCATTAAGCCCAGCAGCCTGGGTATTCCACTCAGCAGATTTGCTTACCTACCCTGTCTCAACTCATTATGATTTTGATTACCTGCAGTATTACAATATATCCATACACAAGCACCAACACACTCTCCTGTATTAGCAAAACCCTATGAAGTTTGTAGGCTTAAGCTATCACAACAACTTCCATGTCAATGTCTCCCTGACTTCATAAATAGGCCTCATTCACCTTTGCAAAGAGCTTGACTGTGCTGCACACCAAGGACAGGCAGTACTTTCTTCACCAAACAGAGAGCCTGTCTGGAAAGGCATGGCTCCTACAGGCTGCTAGTGTCACTTAGAGGCTCAAGGACTCCTCAGAACAAGGTAATCAATTATCTTTCTACTGCAACGTATTTTCTGGTCTCTGATCTCACCTACCCTCTGTTTATTCAGATGTTTTTACCCTTCTCTAGTGATGTTACCCCAGGTTTACACCAAGATGGCAGATGAGACTATGGGCACCTTCCCTGACCAAAGTGCAAAGTCACTTGTAAATCCAGAATCTGTGCAGCTTCATGAGGATTCTCTGCTTCAGCGACAATGCAACCTTAAGCAGAAGGTGATGCATTTCACAGCCATACCCCACCAGCTGAATTTCTTCTTACCTGCTCATGGCAAAACCCAGTCCTGTGCTTATGTAAGCAAAGATGGCCAGAGGGGAGATCAGGAGTCTTTAAACTCCTCTGTCTTGCCAGCACAGCAGATCCTCTCTCCAGCTGCTGGAACAGGGGTCTCCACATAGCATCCATACTCCTGATCAGGTGAGACTGTGCCCCACCTACATAAGCAACAAGAGATAGGTCACTAAAAAAGGGCCCTCCAGCTCCCAAGGCCAAAAACAGCAGGGCATGGGGGCACAGGCAGTGAAGTTCAGGTCTAAGTTTTGAATCTGAACCCTCCCAGGCTGGGACATATCTAGATCTGGGGCTTTGGACCAGGCTGTTCTAGGGACTGGAGAAACCTCTAAGTGTCTGAGCAATAGTCAGACTCCTCCAGGAGATGTTGGAGTCACTCAGAGGAGGGAATCAGTCTAGACCAATACAGATAATGAGTGCCAGTCACAATGAAAAGGGATCAGTACTGACTCATATGAACCAGTGGTCAATATTTAACAGCAGTGAATGATTCATAGGTTGGAATGTGATCTGATAAAAAGAAATGTTATAGAACCACCATGTTTTGCTTAAAACCACTGGGAAAGTGCTGATTTATATATTATAGAAAAGAGAGGGGGAAATATTTTGAAGTATTTTCTGACTGATCGTACAGGTTGATTTTGAAACTCTTAATAAGAATTATTTACGTAGCATCCAAGCTTCTTGAAAACATAGTACCCTTTTTTTCCCCTCTTCTTCCTTCTTCTAAATTTGCTTTCTTATATTTACAGATTTCTCTTTGCTACAGTTAAAATTTGTTACTCTGAACTTTTGGGTTTGGTGGGTTTTTGTGCTCTCATTCCCACAGGGCTTTTAAGCTCAAGCTTATTTTAGGCACTTATATTTTAGACACTAAGAGGCTTTTCAGTAACTACATCACACGCCAGATCGTGTGCAGCTCTCAGGACTAACCAAGAGTGACTTCTCTTGTGGCTTTGCCAGCTACTTGATCTAAGTAGTTCTTATGGTGCTGCAAAAGGCTATACTGGGCCCTGCTCCAGTACTCTCCAGTCTTCACAGGGCTAATTCAGGTTTTCCATCACCATTAGCTTTTCTGCCCTTGAGTATTTCTCAGTCACTGTCACTGCCATGGTTTGTTGACATCTGGTTTTGCTGAAATGCTGTTTAGCCACAGATTTTAAAGCCATAGGCTGTCTGTTGTACCACGTCTAGAATTAAGGTAATTCTCCAGAACACAACACTTTTGTTTTAAAACCTCTACAAAGTCATACCATCTCTCTGAAATTTGGCATTGATTGTCAGTTCCCCACCCCACTCCCCGTGCTGAGAATAAGGAAACTCTGAAATGAATAGTGAAATTAAATACTTCTGATTGAATTTCAAAAGCTTATAAAAGGCAAGATCAAATCCTAGCAATTCCTCTGTGGTGAAGGAATAGCTGATTGATTCCTGTAACTGACTTTGTTGTTTTCCTCAGTCAGGACTTTGAAAAGTTTTTGAGAACTTTCAGTGGTTTAAGAGACTTTTTTGCAGAGAGAGAAATTGAGTCTTCTCTGTGCTTTAATATAAAATGCTCTCAAATTATTATTGTAAGACAATTTTTTATCTAATATATGATAAAATATTCTTCTTTCTAAACATTTTGAATGGCTTTTTTTTTAAGTCACACTGCACCACAGCATGCTTCATAAATAGCAAAGATATTGAAAATAATCTCAAAGCAAAAAGAATGGATTATTTGGAAGAATAGACAGAACTTGGTTTAGAGTCCTCTTCATTTGTCATTCCCTTTATCTTGGTCCCAGAAGCTATTCAAATTTAATTTTCTTAATAAAGCTTTGAACCAAAGGACCAGAAAACTTAAGAGTGTAAATGGTCCCAGTGAAAGGTGAAGTTGCCATGGCTGCTGCTTGCAGCAAAACCAGTGTGGAGACACATGAAGGGAAACCTGCCTATATTGTATCTCCCCATAGTGGCATGGCATTCCTGACTGTCAAGAAAAGGAAACCACGTACAACTGCAGAAAGTAAAATCAGGAGACTGATAGACTAGCTTGGTTGGTTAGAGCCTGGAGCTAATAACACCCCTATGTGGGCTATTCACTTAAGAGTTGGACTTAATGATCCTTCTGGTTCTCGTCCAGCTCAGAAGATTCTGTGATTCTGCGACATGATGCAATAGGTGAAGGTAGGTAACTCTGGAAAGGAGAAAATGGAAAAAAAAAAAAAAGAGAAGCAACGAATCAAAGTTTTTAAAGGTCAGGCAAAAATTAGTGATTTTGATTGTCTGAGCCAGAAAGGCCTCATGCAGGGAAGCTGGTCTTTCCTGCACAACAGCTGTGAAACACGATAGGTGAAGATGGGTCATTTTGTAAACCACAGTGTGAATGCTCTATGGCAGGCAGAGGAGCCTTTGCAACAATGGTAGATGTTACATTCCAAAATTCAGCAGCTGTAGGAGGAGGAACAATGCAGGAATATATGGTTCCTCCTATGCTATCCATTTCTCCACTTTGCCTTCACTGAGGGAAACTATTGTGTGGCAGTACTTGTTGAGCATGAAGTTGATAACTTGCCAAAAGTAAGCCAATCTAAATGTTTTGATGTGTCTAATTCTTTAAAAGATTAGGCACATCTGAAATGGGCAGAAAAAAGTTCTGCTCAAGTATATATTATTTTTTATTGAGACTTTATAGAACATTTCTCAGCTGCATTTAGGCAGCATTGGGAGTAATTTGAAAAAAATATTCAGTTTTCTGGTCTTTGGAGCTTCGTGCACCCTGGAGTAGTTGGGCATAATCATATTAAATGCAAAGAACAAAAAATTCTATCAAACTGCAGGAAGAAAGAGAATAAGATATTTTTTGCTTCCAAACGAATAGCAAGTTAATTGCTTTTCGGTAAAAAAACCATACTTATCCAAATCCTCATATGCCAGCTTTGGAAGAGGAAGGTTAGTTTGATTAGTCTGCTCTTACCAATGCACAGCTCCTCTCCCCAAAAGCTGAACATATGGGATAATGCAGACGGGCTCAGCTGCTGACTCAGGCAGTGTAGGATGGCTGTAGGGCTGCGTTCCCTCATTCCCACTGCACAGGAGAGAAGAAATGACACTTTAATGACACCACAAGTCTTGTTGTCTCGTTTAAGTTCATTGTCCTTTGATTTACAAGATGCTTAGCTGGTACATTGGTTTCCTTTGGCATTGTGCCTCCAGAGGGGTGCAGATTTGTGCAGATCATGGGTAGGCAATACCCAAACAGGCTGGATTGTTGCACTCAAAGCAATAACCAAGCCTGCAGGTGGTCCCAGATCCAGGGCTGTGGCTGAGAAGGAAGTCCTTGTTTCTGAACTCTTGGAGGTCGCTGCAGTGTGTGAAGCAAAGGGCTTCATATATGCCTCACTTAGGATGTAACTGTTTCCCCAACACATTTACACTCACATTTATAGAATTTCTTTAGCCCCTCCAGGTGGAGATGACATCAGGTTTCTAAATCTTCAAAGGCTTGAAGTAGCAACGATCTTTTATAAGCTAAATATACAGTTACTAGGTTTTCTTGAAAGAAACCCCTAGCATCCATTCTCCACCTTCCAGAATGAAGTGGCTGTAACTTAGGATTTGAAGATTCAGGAGTCAAAGCAAGATTTCAGAAGCTGGTTTCAAATTCAATCCCAAGCATTTTATTTCAGGATCTGTATCCCAAGGGCAGAACTAAGACATGCTGCCTGGAAGTCTGACAGCAGGATACCAACACTGCCAATCTTAGCCATTCCCAGGTTGCTCTTGGTGAGTGTGTGAATTTCAGCTACACTCTGCAGAGACCCTGGGGTTGTGACTCAGTCCCATCTGTGCTGCTGCATGGATCACCTTGGGTCATGGGGGCCAAGAGCACACTGCATCCACTGGATCCTCGAATTTCTGGGTTCTGGAGTTAGAGAGACTAGCAGTTAGAGCTGAAGAGCCTTTCTCTTTTATGGAGAAAACTACATCGGATTTTCATCC